ATATATATATATATATATATACATGTTTACAATAATCTAATATAGTTACATAAGAGTAGCCCAAAAAGGATATCATCATCCTTTGACATGCCTCTCAAAATGTTCATCCCCTAGCTTATTCTTGTCATGATCTTGTAAGTATGATCATCGTAGTCCAACTACAAAAAAACATACAAGGGTAAACTTGAATTTAAATGAAACAATATAGTATAGAAATATTAAACTAACTATACAACAAACTTCAACAACACAACAGTTCCCAATAGTCCAAGACTCAGCTTAACGATACGGATCAACATGTCAACACAATTTTACCATTAGTAACATAACAACATTCAACTTACAATATAACCATACAACTTATCGTCATATCATCTTAGCCTATGGGAACAAGTATTCGACATAATATATGATCAACACAACATGTGATCAACATAATAGTTCACAACACAACTATTTTACAACACAACTATTTTACAACACAACTACTTAAGCAACTTACCACATATCAACATATATCAACTTCCAACATATCAACACAACAACAATATGCGTCGTCACACATTTTAACTAAAAGATCTCTTATAACACAAGTGAGCAATCTAAGTGATTTGACCCTACTGAACCAACTTAACAACACGATTTTTTGGACTTATTAGATCAACAACAAATTTGGATAAAAATCCATAACACAACATGATTTCTCGAATTTCATCACTTAAATTAGAAAAGTCTAATATTCCTATTAGGATTAGGATAACTTGGATATGAGTTTACCACAACCTTAGCATGCATAACCAAACCTATTATGGAATTAGCATGTCAACTACCTTCCAAGTATTGTGTCCTTTCCAGTACTTAGTTAAGGATTTTAACCTCCAATCTTGTACCTTATTAAGCTGGTCACTTCATACACATTTGACTTGACCTTGTCCCCATACAGATCTACATTGATTGCTTCAGAATCACTATGGTTCAACCTATCGCCTATACTATATCAATTAAGGACTTAAAGAAGACTCAACACTTTATGTCAAGAGTCAATTTCTCAAGAATAATTTTTCAACAACTAGGCTTGCAAAGCACCACAACATCATATCCTGACAAGATATTCATTTTTTAAAACAACACCTCTCCTTCAGTCCTAAGTCAATTAACATAACTCAACTACATGTGTTAAACATTCTTAACATAACTACTTCAACACTACACAACATACAACTTTACTACTTTACAACTCATCAATTTACAACTTTAAACCTCTTAAATATCAACATACATCATTCTATATCAATGTATAAGGAATTAGATCGTATAACAACATAATTCATGTGAGTAATTCAACTTATTACATATATGTTCAACACTTAGTTAAATAAACAACATATTTTCATTTGGTAACCCACATTCGACACTATTCTCCCCCTACCTAGCGTCATTGAGGCAAAGAGCCTTTAGCTCACCCGTGTCTGACACCAATGCACCCACATCCAACAATAATGAAGTAGAGAGCCCAATGTCAATTACGTTTGGTGTGGCTAAAGCCACATTTGACCTCATTCAGGCAAAAAGCCTTTACCTGACTCACACCCAACGTCATTTAACCTACGCTCAACGTCATTTAGGCATAGATCCACTATCTTGATCACACCTAACGCCACTTAACTAGGGTCTAGCGTTACCAAGTCAGAGAGCTCCAAGGATATCCACACCTGAAGCCCTTCAATTCACATTTGACACTACCAATCTCGCGTCTGATGTTAGTGAAGCTGCGCTTGGCGCAATAATGAATTCTGCACTTGGCAGATTCACAATTTCAACTCATTACCTAAACTTTAGTTTAACAGAAGATGCAACACCATAAATCACAATTACACAACATAAACAACTCAAATAAGCCATAAATTCTTGCATGCAACCAACATTCCCTCCAAATCATCAATTTGCTTCTCATAAGAATAAAACAACCACAACTCAAAACCCAACTTCAATCAATCTCAAATTTAAGAATACAACTACAACATGATGATTCTTGGTAGAGAATAACAACAACAATTCAACAATATTGATCAGTAAGCTTCTCTTACCTCAAATTGTCTAGAAAAGAGGTAGAAGGAAGGAAAAACAAAATCCTTCAAAAACTTCACACGACGACCCCGAGTCTCTGATTCTCAACTTTTAAGACTTGAATCTCAACTCAACTACTCAACTATGCTCAGGGGAAGGATCTAAATGCTTAAGGAAGTCAGTAGGAGAAAATGAATCTTACATGCTCCAAAACTCTTCTCTCTATATTTTCTCTCTCTAAGTTTTTAAGAAATGAATTTGTGAAATTTAAGTTTTAAGATAAATTTTATATATCTTCTTCAAAATTTGGTCAATTTGACCTTGATTCAAATCAACTCCTAAACAACTAAAATTCCTATGAATTCCTTAAACCTTAGAGTTTCTACAATTATTAAACAACAAATCACAACAATTAAATTAATAAAATCAATAATTATTAACAAAATTCACAATGTTACAATAAGAAAAAAAATAAAATCAATAAAAAAAACAATTATAGGTTAAGTGGAATTTTCCGAAACTAAAAAAAAAAAATACTATTGGAAACCACACAAGAGCTTTTGCATGATGCTATACAAATTCAATAATCATTGTTTAGAAAACAGACCGGTCAAAAACAGATTCAACAGATCCGTTGAAAAAATATTTTTCAAATTTAAAATACGTTTTTGAAAATAAAAATACATATTTAATAAAGACTATAAATTAGAATAAATTATTTTATTAATTCATTAATATTTTTTTATAAAATATATTTAAATATTTCATATTTTTTATTACTTAATTCTTTATGATTTTATATTATATCAATTTTACATTTTTTTATTATATATGTACAATCATTGTTGTTAATTGATATATTTAATTAAAATTTAAACTCATTGTTACATTTAGTTTGGTCTTTTACATGCATTCATAGTGTTAAGAACTTATAAAATTTTAATTTTTAGTGTTATAAAAATTATGATATGATATTTATTTAATATTATTTTATTTATTATAAAATTATTATTATTATTATTATTTTATTAATATTAATTTGATAATTGATTAATCATTGTTAAATCATCGAATCTAAAATTAGTACCTTGTCGGTTTATTGGTTTGATTTTAAAATCATTGATAATAATACACCTTCCATTACATTTCTTTTAATACATTTTTTTATTGATTAAAAATTATAAAATCAAGAAAAAAATTATTAAATAGGAGGTAAAATACACTTTCTTATTTAATTTTTGATAATCAATAATAAAATATTTGTTTGGAAAAGTGTGACGTTAACATTTCTATCATTTTATATATTTTATTCTGTTGTTGTTTTTAATTTTTACATTGGAAAAGCACTTGTTGAAGGAGTTAGTTTTTCTAATATAATAATAATCATTGATTAAAAAAATAATGATAGGAGAATTATATTTTAGAAAATAAAATGTAACAATAATTATTGATTAAAAAATTAATAGTTGATATATAATTAGTTTTAAATTTTATTTTGTAAGAATTTAATTTATCACAAATTTTAATTGTTGATTTTACGATCAACAATTATAAGTACATTTTATCTTCTAAAATACATCACTCACTTATGATAAGTCTATATTGAATGGTTTGGTGATATTACTAGTTGCATTTATATATTATGTGATAATAATAATATTTCACTAAATAATAATAATAATAATAATTATAATAATTATAATAATAACTACTTTAGTCATCATTATCGTTTATCGATAATAAAAAAATTACAATGTCATTAACGGTCTATTTAGTTTAAGACATGTTTTTTTTAATATTCCTTATTTTTATAAATAACTATAGAAATTTCATATTATGGTGTATGTTTAAAGTTCCAGATAGCAAACAATTAATTCATGTAACAATTTATTTTATTTTGTATACATATTTTTAAATAAAAAATACAATGATATTTTTTGTAATTATTTATAAAACCAGCTAGGAAATTAAACTAATATATCATTTTAGATCATTTGGTTGAAATTTTAGTTCTAGCTGGTAAGTTTGCTGCAATTTCATAGAGACCAATTGGTATCAATATTAGTGCATTAAAGTTTTCATATGATGTGAGTTTTTTCTTTCTAGGTGTGGCCGCTGTAAGAAGCTTGCTCCGGAGGTAATTTTGTTCACCTTTAACTTTGGGGTATCCTTTGAGTTCACTTGGAAAGATTATGCAAATGCTGATTTTTTAGCATCTTGGTTTATGCAGTATGAAAAAGCCTCTTCTATCCTGAGTAGTCATGATCCTCCAGTTGTTTTGGCTAAAATTGATGCCGATGATGAGAAGAACAAAGTCCTTGCATCGGAATTTGATGTTAGGGGATACCCAACAATTAAGATACTTAGAAATGGTGGAAAGAATGTTCAAGCCTACAAAGGTCCCTATGAAGCAGATGGCATGGTTGACTATTTGAAGACACAAACTGGTCCTGCTTCAACTGAAATTAAATCTGTTGACGATGCTACTGCTTTTATTGGTGAACATAAAGTTGCTATTGTAAGTGACCAATCATTTCATTCATGCTTTATTTTAAGTCACATTGGTCTGTGATCATATTTTCCTTGTTCAGGTTGGAGTGTTTCCAAAATTTTCTGGGGAGGAACTTGATAACTTTACCGTATTAGCAGAGAAGTTGCGTGCTGACTATGACTTTGGTCACACTCTGAATGCCAAACACCTTCCAAGAGGAGAATCATCAGTCACTGGGCCAATAGTTAGGTTATTCAAGCCATTCGATGAACTTTTTGTTGACTTCCAGGTAGTGTTTATTTCTGTGGATTGATTGTTCAATCCTATTTTGTGTTTTGATCTTATTTTGGTTGTGTACAACTGTTTCATGCTTGTAGGATTTCCATGTGGAAGCTCTAGAGAAATTTGTTGAAGAATCTAGTGTCCCTCTTGTGACTGTCTTTAACAATGATCTGAGCAATTACCCTTTTATTGTCAAATTCTTCGGCAGTCCCAACGTAAAGGTATTAACGAAAAAGCTGTGTAAATGTCTGTTTGGACATAAATTAAATTAAAAGTACTTCTGAGAGTTTGTTTACTATAAATAAAGAGCTTTTATCAAGAATTTCTCAAAAGCATTTTTAATCTTGTATATAATTGACTCTAAGTCAATTTTGCTCTTTCATTAGTGTCCTCCCCATCAGCCTACCATTCTGAACTTGATAGCAATTTTCCTAAAATTTACATGCTTTCACTCCATTTCCTGTTCAAAAATATTAATTACTTCCTTGTTTTGATTTTCTTCTCATCTTATCCTGTGTTCAAGAAACCTAAATTAAAGATTTGATATTGGTAGGTAATGTTGTTTATCAACTTCACTGCTGAAGGTGCTGAATCTTTCAAATCAAAATTCCGAGAAACTTCTCAGCAATATAGACAACAGGGTTTAAGCTTTCTGGTGGGAGATGTTAAGTCTAGTACAGCTCATTTCCAGGTTTGTCAAAATTTGTTAAACATTCCGAAGTGTAGTGTGTTAAATCAAAATACTCAAGGTGTAACATTTTGTAGTTGTTTTCTGCTTAATATATCTATATTTGAAATTGTGCGTGGCTTGTCTCGACAGTATCTTGGAGTGAAGGAAGACCAAGTACCTCTAATTGTCATACAACATAAGGACGGGAAGAAATTTGTTAAACCCAATTTGGAACCTGATCACATTTCAAGTTGGCTCAAGGCATACAAGGTTATTCTTATATCTCTTCGTAGCTTTTGTTTTTTACCTGATTTAATCTGGCGTCTAATTTAATGTGTAGAGAACTCTTTAATTTTAAACTATCTTATTGTGGTTGTTATTTGTCTTGAAAATCATAACGTTTGTCATTTTCTTTCTGAATATTTCAGGACGGAAATATTGCACCTTATCTGAAGTCTGAACCTATTCCTGAAGCTAACAATGAACCTGTTAAAGTGGTTGTTGGGGACAGTCTCCAGGACGTAGTTTTCAACTCTGGGAAGAATGGTATGCTTTATTTATTGATTTTTTTTCGATTTGGTTTTATTCCATGGATTATCAGATAGATTTTGGCATTCATTGTCTTTAAACTTCTATTATCATTGGTTTCGAACTATAAAGGAACAGACTTAATTTTTATTTTTTTTTATCAAGAGTTATGTTAAACATTAAAGGAAGGTCTCTTTGCTTATGAAATTAAAAGAAAGTTTGACAAAAACTGATCGAATTATTTTCTTAAAAATTAAAGGTGTCAGTAAAATAGAATGTGGTATTGAAAAAGCCAAGTCTCTCTTAACTTGTATTAGCTTGTGATCATACTGTTTATGTAATGTATTTTGTTTACATTCTTTGCATACATTTCCTATTTTATTTTAGAAACATGTCCTTCTGATACTGTAGTATCAGTGATTATGTATATATTAGCATTAATTATACGTACAAAGTAACATGGCCTTGCAGTTACTCGTGTGTTTGTGATTATACATGGCAGTAATTATACACAAAGTAGGATCTCTCACACATCACTTTGCCTTTAGCATTGGATGTTAGACTAATATAACTGCTAACACAAACACCTTGCAGTTCTGCTGGAGTTTTATTCTCCCTGGTGTGGTTATTGCACAGAGTTGGCTCCAATATTGGAGGAAGTTGCTGTCTCATACGAAAGTGATGCTGATGTGATTATTGCAAAACTGGTAAGAAATGTATCTAGTTTTCATCTTTGATTATCATGATAGTATATTTATTTCAATTGATGGTGGAAGTAGTTTTGACAGCTGACCGAAAGCTATGTGGAACAAAATTAAGCTGTAGTATATTCGTGCAGACTTTAAGAAATTGTTAGATTGTAAACGTAAATATGAATAGTATCACTGAATAGAATAAAACTTAAGCGATATATATAAATGAGAAAATTCCACAAATTTAATGTCTTAATGATCCAGAGTGAATGTGACATGATTTATTGATGACCGAGATCTTCTGGTGAATTATAAGAGTGTATTTTTTTATTAGGATGATTTTATGATATTTGTCTGAGGGGATATTTTATATCAAGAGAAAGGTTATGATTTTATTATTTTTATAAGATTATTTCACACATAATTTCACAATGATAATATATTATGTGTTTTGGATTTACACTCATAATTTTGTTTTTAGTTATCATCTATGTATATTTTATAAGTTATTATTATTTTTATTTTATTTTATTGATATGGACCTTACTTGTATCCAAACATTTTTTTATTTTTTTATTGAGTTTTGTTCTGCATGTGGTTTATGACTTTCCAGGATGGAATTGCCAATGATGTCCCAAGTGAAAGCTTTGAAGTGAAAGGTTATCCAACCGTGTACTTTAAGTCAGCAAGTGGAAAGATATCAAAATACGATGGCAACAGGACCAAAGAAGACATCATAGAATTCATTGAAAAGAACCGAGATAAGCCTGCTCAAAACCAGCAAGAACAAGGAAAAGGGAAAGAAGAGCTTTGAAAGGTAACTTTCTGTAGATCATTAGTTGCCCATTTTCATTGGAATGCTGTAAAAACTCTTCCAAACTTTGCTATGCATATTTTGATTTAGTCTCTCCTTTGCAGGAAAGAAGCTAAGTGACACGTGACGTGGGATGTACACTCCTTTGTGTCTCGGAACACAAGTTAGTAAATCTTGGTGCCAATGTAAATTACTTTGCTGAACTTTTATCTTTTCTGGTTTCCTCTGTATGTTGTACGGAATAAAATTGGAGCTTTTTGTTTGGTGTACTAGAGTTTCAGTGTCGGAAAAGTTGCTAGTGGGACCAGTTAAATTAGTGAATGTTTTTAAATCACCAATTAGTTTTCAGTGTCTTTGTGTCTAGATATCTTATAATTTTTATTGTTCCAGTTTTTAAAGATAATGTTTCATTTGGTAGTTAGAAAATTTTATTAAATGACTGTATGGTCTATTGTTAAAATCAATTTCTCATATCTTGACGTATGTTTTAATATAAAATTTGCAATTGAAATATTGAATATAAATTTTAAGAGGAATGATAACACATACTTTCTATTAGTCTCAAACCAGGGGATACTTTCTATTAGTCTATTACGCTCTCAATTCTTTGAAACTCACATTTTGATTAAAATTTATTGAAAGTTGGAAAATCATAAAAGACAATTTTTAATATATTTTAGCGAATAAGAAGAGTTGAGTATGTCAAAAATATACTACTAGCATTTATCTGTATTTTAATTATGTACGTTAATTGTTTCATTTATTTTTATCAAAATCTAAATAAAGCATACTCTAAAGAAGCGTGATTTACAAACCTCGTTTAGTATTAGTTGCTCTGTATTTTCAAATAATTGGATCCACGGAATTGAAAAAAAATTAAGTCCAAGCTTGAACACGTTTATTCTAAAAGTTAAGTGACTTAAGTTAGAATAACTTAGGATTGTCTTCGAGAAGCAAAAATGAAATGTAATCCTATTTTATGAATTTGAGTTATAACATCTATTTTATGAAATAAAAAAATTTAAATACCTAACATAAAAATTGATATTCATCCTATTCACTTTCTTAATGAGACGTTTTTAATATTTTCTTTATATGTATATTTTACACACTATTCTCGCAATTAACTAAAATAAATTCAACCATGTCTATCAACTTTATTTTTATTTTTATCTATATATTTAATCTAAATCGTTTATCTATATATTTTTATCTGCTTGGCCATACTCGCTTGTTACTTAAACAAAGTTTATGTTTTCGTGTTTAAAAATTAACTGAAATAGCTGTTTTTATATAATTAAAAATTATAATAAATTTGAATATGTTAATTATATTCAAATAATTGGAATTTATAAATAGTTAAACCGTAGGATTATTTCTAATTATCGATAACATTTTTAGAAAATATTAAAATTTAATTTTGAAATAGGGATAAACAAAAAGGTCATTGGTGAGTAAATCATGTGTGGCACAAACATAAAAATGATGAGTTGGATACAACAACAAAAAAATGATGTGATTATTACATGATGGGAATATGGGTTTTGATAAGAGTGTTTTATGATGTATGAAGAAATGCATGTTCAAAGGTTACAAAGTCGGTAAAGAAAGGGTGGATGTTAGCCTCCTACAATACAATTCGCAGATGACACAATCTTTTTTTGGGGAAGCTACACTTAATAATGTGATCATTGTGAAAAACATTCTTAGATGCTATGAACTTGTATCGGGACTCAAGGTAAATTTTTTTAAAAGTAGATGTGGGGCGATTGAAACTTCATTCACAAACATGGTCAGATTTGCTACTATCCTCAATTGCAAGATTTTGAATATCTCATTTACATATCTAGGACTCCCTGTTGGGGATAATCCGAGGAGGAAGGCTATGTGGAAGCATGTAATACACAAATTGCAGAAAAGACTGGCTAGGTGGAAAAATAAATTGTTATCCATGGCTGGTAGGGTCTGTCTCATTAACTCAGTCCTATCCTCACTGCCTCTATTATACTTTTCCTTCTACAAGATGCCAAGGAAAGTACAAAAAGAAGTGGAAAGTATTCAACATAAATTCTTGTGGGGGGAGGAGCAAGATTAAAGGAAAGTTGCATGGGTGAGTTGGGATAAAATTTTCCGCAAAAAGAGTCAAGGTGGGTTGGGAATAAAAGATTTATCCTTGTTCAATGATTCATTGTTAGCAAAATGGAGGTGGCACATGTATCATGACAGGAGCAATCTGTGAGTGAGTGTCCTAGAATCTAAATATGGAGGATAGGTAAAATTGATAGAAGGGGATAACAAAAGGGATTATTCAATGTGGTGGAGAGACTTAAGGAGAATGTGTGGTGGAGATTGTAGGGAGGAATGGTTTGATAAATGTATGAATTGGAAAGTGAAAATTGGGAAAAGGACAAGATTTTAGGAAGACAGGTGGATTGGTCAACAAACATTGGTTGAAGACTATCCTAGACTGTATATCAATTCAGGACAACAACAAACAACTATCCACAATATGAGACAATGGCTAGAGGGAGGTTGGGAGTGGAGCTTTAGGTGGAGAAGAAGATGGTTGGGAAGGGATGAAATTCAATGGGAAGAAATGATGGGCCGATAACAAGAAGTTGTGTTGGACAGAAATAGTGAAGACCATTGGATCTGGATGGTAGGAAATAACATGGAATATACTATTAAGGCTACTTATGATCAACTCAGCTAATGGAAGAACGGTGGAGAAGAAGATGGAGTATATAAAGAACTATGGTCGCTACACCTACCACTAAAGGTGTCTATAATGATCTGGAGACTATTTAGGGAAGGATTGCCTACAACAATGAATCTTAATAGCAGTAATATTGAACTAGGAGATTCGGAGAGACTATGAAGTCTATGTTCACGAGCAGAGGAGTCTACCTCTCACATGTTCTTTGAATGCGGAGTTACTGATTGTGTCTGGAAAACGTGTTATAGTTGGATAGATTTAGCTACTGTGCTTCCAGCAGATCCATCAAACCATTTTCAGCAAATGCCCATCTCAATATCTTCTAAAAAAAATTCAGAGAGGTGGAAAGTGTTGTGGAGTGTTGTGGTCTACAATGTGTGGATGATGAGGAACAATATCAGATTTAAGGGTGGAAGACTAGAAATCCAAAAATGTATCCAGGAAATTAAAAATGATACCTGGAGGTGGTTATCACTAAACAAACAATTCAGATACAACTATACACAATGGCAAGCTGACCCAGGTGGCTGTATAATGGATGGGGAAGTTAAGGATAAAAAGGAGGAAATCCAAAGGTCTATTCGTGAGATTGTTGGTGATTGGTGGAATATCTAATAGGTGTATAATTTCTAAACTTCTAATGGCAATTAATGCTGGTATGAGTCGTGTATAGAGTTAAAAAAAAAAGACGAAGGGGCTAAAGGAGGGTTTGGAATGTGTACATGCACTGGTCCCTATTAGACTTGAGAGGTACAACACAAATCCTGGTTGTCTAGTAATATGGAATATGACATTTCCATATTACGGTTAACCAAGTGAATTTTTTTGTAATATGAATTGCACTTCTGGTGCTATTAAATAAATAAAATATCCTTTACTGTTTAAAAAAATTTTAAAAAAAGAAAGACTATTCTTTTTGGCTGAAAAATAGAACAGCCAATACAATTTTGACAATAATATAATATTCAATTAAAATTAAAAAAAAATCTATTTCTTTCTAGAATGAAAACCCAAAAACATAGAACCTAAAAATTTGAGAAATCTAACATTGATCTTGCATGACTAGAACTGACATTAGTGATTAGAAGGAACACTAGAAAAGGCATGTTGGTGACACGATTTGGTGTGGTGATTTCTCATGACAAACAATTTCTTATTTTTATTTTAATCAAAATATATGATTATTATTTTGTTTAACGTGTTATCAATATTTTATTGGTATCTGGTAGTATCTAGCACATTATTTTTATGTTTTTCTCCTTACAATATTTACTCCTCTATTAGTTCTAAGATAAATCATGTTAATTTTATGATCATCCACGTCTATATAAGATACAAATAAACATAGTTATTATATAAAATTTGAACGTTTTATAATTAATAAAACATAATTCAATTTTATTTGATTGTCGATCAACACGATAGTACTTTAAATTACGTAGAGTAGCAAGTTATTTTGTGCTTCAATAAAAACGTCACCCTTATATGATTTTAATAATTTACCAATACTAAAATTGTAGATTAAAATAATGTTAGTAAAGTGCACTCTTTTAAACACTTTTAATAAAAGTAAGATTTATTTGGATAAACTTATGTATAGGTATTTTAAAAGGAAAAAAAATTATAAGTTAAAATTAATTTATGTATAAATTAAAAAATTATTTTTCAAAGAAATTAATATGAAAATTTTCATAAATAATTTATATATAAACTAATTTTAGCTTATAAGTAATTTATTTTCATATTTTCTCTTCCTAACTCTGTTTATGAAAAATTTATTCATATTATTGCATTACATTAATTTAATTGAATATGAAAAAAAATTTAAATATATGGAGACATTTGAAAAATGCAATTTGTATTGATATATAATTTAATATAAATAATTAATATTAAACATAATGCTTTAAAAATAATATGTGCATTATATATATATATATATATATATATATATATATATATATTAAATACTAAGTTGCTTTAAGTAATTTATTAAATAAGTTATTCTTGAGTACATTTTTAATACAATTTGGATTTTTTTTTTCATTTTATACTACAAGAAAAATCACAAACCTTTTTGGTTTTGTATTAGTGTTCTAAGGTTTAATCAGGAAGTAAGTAAAGATTGATCAATCATTGTTTTGTACCAGTGTTCTAAGGTTTAGTCGGGAGGTAAGTAAATGTGGAAGAAAATATGCACAAAGTTTTGATGATGCCAAAGCATTGAAGAAAATAAAGGTCAAGTTAAAGCAAGCTGATCAAGAAGCAAGATCTCAAGTAATAACTAGATAAGTCTTGACTGCTTAGCTTAGTATGTAAAATGAACTTTTAGAATTTGCAAATTTGACTTGGCCATTAAAATAAGAATTTCAAGAAAACCTAAACTTAATACTTTTGAATATAAGAATAAGTTGTTTGAAAAGAAAGCAAAAAGAGTATTCAAAAGATTAAA